TTATATTTCTTGTTTGCATTTTTTGGTCATGACTGTATATACGTCTGGATTTCAGTGTTTACAGGCATGACCCACTGCACAACAGTTTTCCGCTACTTAGCACACGGTCGTGTACTGCTAGGATGTCAGGTGCAGTGGCTATGTTATTTACAAAGGGGGAAAACGGAAACCATTATGTATACGAGATCCACGATGCACGAGCCCCCACTACAGTGCGCCTCATTACCTGCGTTGCGTTGGCGTGTTAAGCCCTACAATCAAATAATCAATAAACTGCATAGGGAGCGAATGTCAGTTGATCCCTCCACAACGGCGCACACGTGTAGCTCTGGCATATGAAGCTCCAATTTGAATTAGAGCCATTTATTGTGGGGAGAAATTTTGAGCACAATTTAATTATGGTATTTTAAGACCTTCCCCTATCCCTTGTGGAAAGGGCGGGGGAAGGACAAGTGTCTTCCTCACGTCAATAACTAAGCCGGTATCTGCTGCATGTGTTACATTTGTAAAATTAACAAGCTAGACATGAACTGGCATTGCTTGAATATGTTCATGAATACATACATTTCTGCTTGCAGCACTGCCTAAGGAACGAAAGCCACCAAAAGAAAGAACTGTGCCTGCACCCTCCAGCAACGAGACCAACAAATCTCCTCCTGGTCTGCGTCAATATCCAGCTGCAGTTAAAACTACCCTAGAGACCCCACAAAACCACGCCGTTCCTGAATCTACACGGCAAGGAACATCGTGTTATGGGCACGACACCATGGAAGTTGACGACGCCGTTGTTGAACTGTCAGCGAACACTAGTGATGCAGATTCAAGAGAAGTTAATGCAGCGGCTGGTGAGACATCAAATTCTACTGCAGAATCAGCAGAACTGAAGAAGAAGCTTGCTGACCTTACAAGAAAGTACTCTGAACTTCAGCAACATCATGACACAGCCAAGAACACCATTAGTGGTCTCAAGAAAAAAGTGCAAAAACTCGAGACTGAGGCAACAAATATTTCGCAAAATATGAAATTTCTCAACGACGATCAAGTACGCGCTCTCTCAAGGAGCAGCAGCTTGGGGAACTCTTGGTCTCCTCACACTGTCAAGCAAGGCCTTCAAATTAAGTTTGCTTGTGGAAGAACCGGGTATGAAACTTTGAGAAAAATGGGATATCCTCTCCCATCCAAAAGAACGCTCGCACGGAGGATTCAAAATTTGAAGTTTCTCCCAGGCGTTCTTCACGAAGTGATAGACGTTATGAAATGCAAAGCCGAGACCATGGAGGATGTAGAAAAGGACTGCGTCCTTTTTTTGGATGAAATGGAGATAGTGCCGGGGTTTGAGCTAGATCGAGCTGAAGACGCACTTCTCGGAGGAATAACTCTTCCTCCGAAGCCTGAAGAGCCTGCGGTTCATGCTCTGGTATTTATGTTGGGCGGACTTAACCAGCGATGGAAGCAGGTGATTGCATATGAATTTACCGGAAGAAACATCGATGGCGGCTTGCTGAAAAACTATGTGTTGGAACTAGTACAGCTGTGCAGTCAAATATATCTGAGAGTTCACGCAATCACATGTGACATGGGCTCGGCAAACCGCGCAATGTGGAGGGAATTCGCCTTTTCCAGTCACAGAGATTCTTCCACGGTGTGCTCCATACCTCATCCGTGCATGGACGGGAAGGAACTTTTTTTCATTGCTGATCCGGCTCACGTCTTGAAGAACCTCAGAGGCCAGCTCTGGAGCTCAGAAGTTTTCACGTTGAGTGAGGCCACAGTTGCCAAACATGGCCTGCCTTCTTCACAAGTCAACTTGGAATATGTTCAGGCTGTGCTCGAAGAAGATTCTAAAAGAGAACTGAAGGTAGCCCCAAACTTATCCGAAATGCACACCAGCGCAGGCCACTTCACCAAAATGAAGGTTGGTGTCGCTGTACAACTTTTTCGGGAAGCTCCCCCAGCTATCAGATTCCTTATAAAGGAAGGAGTTCTTAAACAGGAAGCAGAAACAACAGCTTGGTTCATGGAGCTGATTTCAAAATGGTATGCACTGATGTCTTCGCGGCATCCAACACTGGCCCTGAGTCGGAGAAGTAGGGCTAAGTACTCCGAAGCCCTAGATACATTACACACAGCAATAGAAACCATCAGAACTATGAAAATGGGTGCCACATCCCATTGGAAACCGTCGCAAGCAGGTGTACTCATATCAACTACAGTTGTACTTCGCCTCCAAGACGTTCTTTTAGGAGACGAAGGCTATGAGTTTTTTCTTACGAGCAGGCTCCTGCAGGACTGCTTAGAGAACCTCTTTTCTGTGGTGCGGCTTATGAAGCCGGTTCCCAATGCCTACGATCTCAAGTGCGCTCTGAGACTGGTGAGCGTAAGCCAATTTTTGCATACACCGAGGACGACCAGCTACGAGCTTGATGACAGGGAGTACCTGGTGGACCTGCTATCCCAGGGGAAGGAAGCCTGCGTCGAGAAGGAAGCTCAAGAAATCGATGATTCCGAGATTTTGTTCATCGAAGGATTGTCGTCCACAGAATGCAGTATTCTCTTTTACCTAGGAGGATTTATTTTGACATCTGTGAAGTGCGCAAAATGCAAAGATACTCTCCTTGGAACTGCCAACGACGAGCATGCTTCGCTGACAGCACTGAAAGAGTACGTTTCAGATGGAGGCAACCTCATCTACCCCAGCAAGGGAGTTATGAAAGCCTTGATAGACTATGAGGAGCATTTTGCTGCCATAAACTCTTGGTGCACGGACAAAGTAGTCACAATGAAGTCGCCGCTTCGTTCACTCACCGCATACCTAAACAAGGTGCACTGCCGCAGCTTGTGTGTATGCGCGGAGCACGAGGACAGTATATACCGACTGCTCACAGAGAGGTACGCAAGAATAAGGCTGCGCATTCACCTTCGGCAGGTTCCAGTCGGGAGTTGCAATGGACATGCAAGCAAAACATGTGCCGGCGTCAACCTCTCATGAGAAATGGACACGCCAAGATAAGCTGTATGCTTAAAAGGTTTCGGCTCACGTGGGCACGCTTTTGACTCTTGCATTTTTTATTTTTAAACATTTCATTTCGTACTGCATTTGGTTTGTCTTGTATCTGACTTTGATTTTCACTAGTGGGACAACGCAGCATTAAGGCGCACAAATAAATGGCCTGTTCACTGAAATCGTGGGTGTCGTTTCATAAAGGTACACTGGTAAAGCATGTTACTCTCGGGTATGCTGCCTGCACAGTGCATGAAATGGTGAGGCAGGGGAAGGTGGTACCGAATGTCAGATAATGTGTGTGTGCGTGTGCGTGTGTGTGTGTGTGTTATATACACACACACGCAAGTATATAAAGTACAGCGATTCCTGCCTTTGCTATTCGGCTGATTCACAAAGACCCAAATATTGCATTCCTTTCAGCAAGCGTAGTAATAAAAGTTCATGCGCCCCTCCGTCTTAACGACGACAACGGTTTAACGCGAATCTTTCTGGTGTGGGAGTTCGTGGCTCATTTCATTCAGTCTATGTCAGCCCCTGGCGCATTGTACAAGCACAGGCCACCAGTTTGTATGACGTGCGTTGTTCCATTTAACAATTAGGCAACAACAGCACTAAGAGGTGTCCAAGTTGCACCAAAAAAAAAAGCTCGCCAACGAGTACTTCTTTCCTACCATACGCGAGCACCGCAAGCGGTAATGCGCTTCGCATGCTGCCCCACTACGGCAGGAGCCGTAATGGCGGCCGTCGTAGCAGACGACGCGGCTGTCCTCACCCTCAGCGGAGCGCGCGGGCATCAAGGCACCCTAATCACAACCTGATCTTCTTTCATTTGGAGCCTCTACACTGTTTTATTCGCCGTTCAAGAATACATCACTGCGACTAAACGATTTTCTTGCTAAATTGCTGTCTCACTATTTTTCTTATTTTTTTTGTGCAAACTTGATATCGGTATTTCAAATCAAAATTAAGTTACAAAAAAAATTGTAGGAATGACGCAATGCTGAAAGTTTAGGGCAAATTCACCTTATAATCGGCCAATCCCCATCTTTGGGTACGAGCCATTTGCACAGGGAAACAACAACAACAATTAGTGTTCCCTACCAAAATATTTGATCTTCCCATTGGTTCTGATTGTGGTACAAGGATGCATGTTGTCGTGTAGGAGGCCGATTCCGGATGAGAATTTTTTTCTTTCTTTTTATTCAATGTGATGTGCCGCTCGCCGATCCGTTGTCAAATATCATATTGCTGCTCAGGGTAGTCGTACTGACACTGCAGAGTATGTGTGTCGTACTGACACTGCAGAGTATGTTTTTGAGAGTATGTGTGGTGAGAAAGACAATGGGCAGCACAGTGCGAAGTACTGTGCGAGGGTGTCCAGTGTAGATATCGTTGTCTGACTGATCGAGCCAAAAGAAAGTTGCACAATTTCAGCGGGTAATTTTATTAAACAGATGGCTATCACAGTTTTTTTTTTTATCCATGTATTGTTCAACTCTGCGAGAGACAGCTGTTCCTTGTTTACATGTATACTGCTGCATTACAATGTACGCTTACTTGCTTGGCGTGTTTTTTTTTGTTTTTTTTGCCAGTTGAGGTCTCTCAGGCACATGGCGGCATAGCGGAAATATTTATAGTAACTTTAAGGTGCTGTGTGCGCGAATACTACCCCGCAATAGCAGCGAATAAACGCCCATAAACATGCGGGCGCGCTCCACGACCCCACCCCGCATAGAAGTGTGGCAGCTTGGGCTAGTTGGTATGGCACGACGATAGTTATAGCGCAAGAACAAAACGACGTCACAGAGATAAGAAGGACCCGTGTCCTTCTTTCGTGTCTTTCTTGTCTCTGTGTCGTCGTTTTGTTCTCGCGCTATAACTATCGCTCACCCCGCAACCGCTACCAAAACAACCGCCATAATGCTTAGCGCAATGATGATGATAGGACTGTCAGCGCCGTCTCCAGGTCAGATAAGTTAGTTCACAACACCACCGCCTACCTTATTTCCGTTGCACCAATGGTAGTGTATAGGTGTTCTGTGGTTGCTCCATAGAGAAAGAAGAAGACAATAGTAGTGTGTAGTTGTTCTTGCATTTAGGAAACTCTATGGTTCTGTAGTGCACTCTAGCCGGAGGTCGTGCACCACGCACGGTCTGAAAATCAAACATGCGATCTCGCGCTACTCTCTACGAGCCCTGCGCGCGTGGCCGATGGTACCAGAATCCATTGTTTAAGCGCTATTGGCACCACTACCAGCACACAATCAAGTGGTTTCACTATCACCAACAACTTTTACGGGACCTAACTGTGCAAAGCCCGACATGTAAGTTCCTCTCAGCATCGCTTTTGTTGAAGGAAACTGCAGCGATTTTTAAGTAGCTGCCGAATGACGGGAATTAATTCCTCACGAATCGATTCATTGTTGCATGCACTTTGCTTTTCCTTTCGTCCTTACGAGTGCGCTCAAAAGCCATCATGAGCACTCTTTTTATTCTGCCAAGGCGTCGGCTATTTACTGTGATGCAGCAGAAATACGTGGGGGTGGTGCTAGAAATTTTGTATGAGAGGCGTGCTCAAATGAGTTCCCTTGGAATGCTTGCTCGTGGGGTTGGGGAGAAGTGTAAAGCGGGGCACTGCTCCCCCCTCCCCCTATCTCTCGCGCTGTCCACTGGCATCGCCTCTAAGCAGAACAGTTTTCGAATTATACTTGTTCTCTAGCAAGGTTCTGTTAGGCGTTACATAAGTCGTTACCAGACTCGGGGGTTGGTGGCAAGGTTCTGTTTGGCCAATGCCTTTGTTTGGCGTTGCATAAGTCTATAAGCTATTTACCGCGTGCTTACAGGAGGTTTTCAGAAGCCTAGAATGAAACAGTTAGGGATAAGAGTTGATGGAGAGTAGCTTAGTAACCTGCGCTTCACCGATGACATTGCATTGCTGAGTAACTCAGGGGACGAATTGCAACTCATGATTAGGGAGTTAGACAAGGAAAGCAGAAAGGTGAATCTTAAAAATTAATATGCAGAAAACAAAAATAATGTACAACCTCGGAAAAGAGCAGCGCTTCGAGGTGAATCTTAAAAATTAATATGCAGAAAACAAAAATAATGTACAACCTCGGAAAAGAGCAGCGCTTCGAGATAGGTAATAGTGCACTTCAAGTTGTAAAAGACTATGTCTACTTAGGGCAGGTAATAACCGCGGGGCCGAACCACGAGATTGAAGTAACTAGAAGAATGGGGTGGAGCACATTCAGCAAGCAGTTTCCAATTGTGACAGGTAGATTACCACTATCTCTCAAGAAAAAGGTATATAACAGCTGTATCTTGCCGGTACTTAGCTACGGAGCAGAAACCTGGAGACTTACAAAGAGGGTTCAGCTTAAACTGAGGACGACGCAGCGAGCAATGGAAAGAAAAATGGTAAGTGTAACCTTAAAAGACAAGAAAGCAGAGTGGATTAGGGAACAAATGGGGGTTAAGGATATCATAGCTGAAATCAAGAAGAAGAAATGGACATGGGCCGGGCATGTAGTGCGTAGACAGGATAACCGCTGGTCGTTAAGGGTAACTAACTGGATTCCCAGAGAAGGCAAGCGGGTTAGGGGCAGACAGAAGGTTTGGTGGGCAGATTAGATTAAGAAGTTTGCGGGTATAAATTGGCAGCAGCAAGCACAGGACCGGGTTAACTGGCGGAACATGGGAGAGGCCTTTGTCCTGCAGTGGACTTAGTCAGGCTGATGATGATGATGATGAAGTCGTTGCCAGACTTGGGTAGTCCGTGTTACCAGGCTACTGCCAAATTTGGCAAATAAATTTGCCCATGTAGGTATGCTTTCTCCATGAATGCTCTGTGTCGTCCGTGGTGCATTGTGCGTATTCGACATTGGCTGTTTAACAATGAACGTACAACAAAACAAACAACTAGAGGGAAGGCAGGGAGGTTAACCAGGCACGTGCCCGGTTTGCTACCCTACGCTGGGGGAATAGGAAGGAGGCATAAAGATGAGAGAGAGCGAGGAAAGAGAAGAGAAAGAGAGCGAGAGAAAAAAAGAGGATTTTCAGTCAATCGGCTGGCGCGTATGCAGCGGTGGCACTACACAAAAGTCAAAGGTAGTCACATAGGCCTGCAGTCCTCAAAAAGCACAAGACAGCTTTGACTGCTTTTTGCTCGACGAAAGGCGATGACGGTGTTCCAGTAGCATCTGCACAGAGAGTGGCCGATCGTCCAATTGTCGCAATGCGTCCGAAAGCTTCTGTCTTTCAGAGGCAAATCGAGGGCAATGGCATATCAGATGGTCGATGTCTTCTTTAGTGCAGCAGACGTCGCATTCCGCATTGTCGGTCAATCCGATGAGGGTTCTATATGCTTTTGTGAAGGCAACCCCCAAACATAGGCGACAAAAAAGTGAAGCTTCACGTCGACGAAGTCCGGATGGAGGTCGAAGTTCCAGTCGAGGGTTTATTTGGTATAGTCTCGTATGTCTTATGCTTGGGCTGTTCCACTCCTGCAGACTCAGACTACGTGCCAGGTGACGAAGTTGATTTGCAGCGTCAGTCCTTGACAAAGGAATCGGAAGGGTGTGTTCTTCTTGGTGCGATGTTCAAGCCGCGTTGTCTGCGGAATCATTGCCACTGATCCCACAATGGCCAGGAAGCCACTGAAACTTGACCTCGTGGCCTGTTTCTGTGACGTGGTGAACAAGGTTGACAACTTCGTAAGTTAATTGTTCATGGCAACCTCGTCGAAGGACTGACTGCATGCTCTGTAGGGCTGGTTTTGAGTCGGAAAACACAGCCCATTTACTCAGTCTATGGGATTTGATGTACTCTAGGGCGCCACGCAAAGCCGCAAGTTCTGCCGCTGTGGACGTAGTCACATGTGACAGTTTGATTCGCAGAGTGATTCCTCTAGCTGGAATCACCACCGCACCACCAGAACCAGACGCTGTGGTTGAACCATCGGTGTATATGTGCACATGGTTGTTGTACATTTCGTGCAGATGGCTCAAGCTCAATTGTTTTAGGGCTGATGAAGGCAAATTTGATTTTTTCTGTATTCCTGGAATTGAAACGCGTACTTGTGGAAGTGTCAGGCACCACGGAGGATACACCAGTTTCTCAGCAGGCGTAAAAACTGACGTAAACGACGCACGATGAGCACAGACAATTGCACTAGATTTCGTGCGGGGCCTCTCAGTAGCGAGGGTTGCCAAGTGGTGGGAAGGATTCCTAGCATGTTGCAGAGGTACGTACGCATTGTTTCAATGGTGATGTGCGTCATGATCGAGTAGTCCTGTGCAATGGCAATTGTTTCAGCTGTCGATGCGCTGCGGGGTAAAGCAAGGCATATCCTAAGCGCTTGGGCTTGAATATTTTGGATGGTGCGCAGGTTCGTTTTGCACGTGTTAGATATAACAGGTAGGCTATACCGCAGGAATCCAGTAAATAATACCTTGTACAGCTGTAACATAGACTCGACAGACATTCCCCAACTTTTCCCAGCAAGAAACCTGAATAAGTGACAAATGGCAGTCGCATCGACAGCTGAAACAATTGCCATTGCAACGCGTGTTGCAGAAGTTGGAGCGCGTTGTGTTGCTGTGTGCGCAGCTGTGTAATTAAGAGGTCGGTCTGGATTGTGTCTCAGAATTAAGGAATCAACGTGCAAGGATGTATATGAGTACACGCTCAAGGGGAACTGAATTTGTGCGCCATGTTCAATATATGTCAGACTTGTGTCTCAAGCTTAGCCTGGAGTACCTAGTCGACTTCGCACAACAACGCGTTTTCTGGGGAAACTGAATAGAGTCGCAGCAGGCACGGTGCGCTTCCCCTTTCTGATCGTGTCCGATTGTGTCTCAGAAGTAGGGAGTCTAGCTCTCTGCACAGCTGATCATACCGCCTCGCGGGGAGATGCTATGATTCCCCCAGCTGTGTCAGCACAAGACATATCGTTTGGACTCGTATACATATGAAGAATAAATGTGCCAAGGCTGGATAATTGGGGTACGTCGAATAAAGGCTGCTTTAACACCGCTACTCGCGTGTACCTGTAAATTGGACTCCGCCCGGCGTACCACCGTCGCCTGCAGGGCCTCAGCTGCAATAAGCATAAGCCACCAACATTCAAATAAATGAATGTTTATTGTCCCTCAGCTTGATAGGGTGCACTATAAAAATAAATAGAATAATTAAAAACAAAATGGAAAAAAAATTTGGCAGATCCCACATACCTAGGAATCGAGGTTATGCGAAGCATGCAGAGGGAAGGTTACCATGTTGCATTTTTTAATTGAGGGGTAGGTCATGAAGTGAGGCTAAATAATGTTGCCCGCACAGATATATGTTGAAGATTCGCAGATTCTTATATAACCATTTGTTTGTACTTGCGCAACGATGCCAACTGGAGCATGCTTATCAGCAACATCAGAAGCTGATATGAAGGGCTGATGCTCGTGAGAACGCTGACCCTGGACAGTGCTACATAAATCAACTTCAGTGCATGTAAACTAACCACAATTGATATTAACCCGACGTGACGGCTGTATCAAAGGAGTACACATGTAATCTTTATAAAATTGGGTAGGCAGCACTGCAACCACTATTTTTACGTTTCATGAAAATTAGCATTTTTTTTTCTAAAAGTAGTTCTGAGACCTGGCATAGCTCTGTGGTAACATGCTTCATTGCCTGGCAGAATGCTTGGGTTCGATTCCAGCTGGAACCCTTACATTTATTCTTTCTGTTAGTCGGATGGACGCTACCGATGTCGAGTACTTCTCAACGCTTGTGTGTTAAAATTGCCCATATGTGTTCTTATCCTTCCTGGGTAGATACAAAGTGTCAATCACCTGTGGCACACACCCGCATACTAGCAGCACATGCCGGCCCATGGGTATGTGCCACTGTCTGGGGGGAAGTGTTTGACGACTTACAGGACAGGATTGTGACATTATTCATGTCTAGACCAGAGCGTCATATTCATCTAACCATCTTATCCTCCCATGCAAATTTTAGTTCACGCCAAGTTTAGTGAGTGGCCATGAAAGCACTGAAACGTAAGCGGCTAGATAGATAGACAGACAGATAAATAGATAAATAGATAGATAGATACGCTCAAAGTCGCCAGAGTTTGCTAAGAAATGCCTTGCATTAAAAAAATTTTCACAGCATTCTGATCACACAGCGGTTGATGCATGATATCCACCAAACCTAAACGAGATATCGACCAGCAATGGGGTACATGAGCCGAAGGAAAGGGTCTTTCACGTTAGGACGTGCGACGACCAAGTACGTTGAGATAGGCAAAAAAGGAGCCTTGGCCCTGCCTATACCGTGCAGAGCGTGTGTCCCTTAAATCTGAGAGAGCTGTTTCCTGCAACCACTGCACCTAAAGGTCGGTCTGCACCCTTTCTTGCTCGGGTGATTGTTAGTGACGACTTCTACACCACATCCTGGCTCACCTTGATTAAACCCAAGGTTGCCGTCAGCATGGCACGATCAGCTGTGCAGAGAGCTAGACTTCCTACTTCTGAGGCACGATCAGAAAATGAAAGCACGCCGTCTGCTGCAACTCTATTCAATTTCTCCAGAAAATGCGTCCTTATGCGTAGTCAACTAGGTACGCGCTTTGTCGACACGAATCCAACGTATATCGAAACGTGGTTGCAGGTAGATTTTCCAATTCTGATACACGATCAAGACCGACCTCTTAATTGCACAGCTGCGCACACAGCAACACAACACGCCCCGACTTCTGCGACGCGTGTTGTACGTTCATTCCGGTAATTAAAACAACCAACGTTGCATTCGCACAAGGCACTGCGGATGACACAGAGCCCTCACGGAGAAAGCACAATTACAGGGACAAATTTTTTTTTGCCAAATCTGGTGCCAGTCTTGCAAAAATGACCTCTAAATCTGTCAACTGACTTGTGCAATGCCAAACATGGCCGTGTACTTTCCGTCGATGGGCCTATCTAGGACGCTGTTCACCAAGAAAAGAGCATGCTCTGTGCGAGGCTTTTACATTTTGCTCACATGCTCACAGGAGTCGCGGTTGGTAACGTTTTCTGACTATGTTAAAAAAGTGCCGCAGGACTTTAATACTACCTTTAGTGTAGCTGACTGGTTCGTGATGCCAGAGTGAGGCCGTGCAGAAAAGTACAAACTTTGTAGTCGGCGTTTGCGTTGTCTTTTGTGTTGTCTGCATGCCTGCTGTCTTTCATTTTATGGTTGAAATTAAATGGCTGAAACATTTGCAGCTTAATTGCTATCAGCTGGAGCAATTCGGAACTTTCACGGCCTATAGGTGGCGCAACTGTTCATCCAACATGGTGGTTGTTGAGATGATTGTCCCGGAAGAGACGGTACCAAAAAGCACACTTTTGGTGATGATTGCAATTCGTCACGCTTCGGTGGCCCTTCGATTTATGTTTTGAGAAAGTAGGGGAGCGCTGACATACTGCATCAAGTAAATAAATGTTGGGTTGCACATTGGGTAGATAAATATGTACAAAATTGTAAATAAGGCACACACGTACGCTCTTCAACACCTGGTGTCATGTTTGAAAAGGATTATAATAGGAACCTCAGTACCAATTTCTCAGTAATGTAGGCTACATTTTCGGAGGCGCGCTTTATCTTACAGTTTTCCTTGTATCGAATTCTATGCAGAGCTTGTTCAGATCACCTAAAAGCACAAAGTAGATTAAGCTGATAGAAAAAAAATTGTTTTTCAATATCTTAGCGCAAGCACCAACTGAGGTATGTCATGTTATTGGCAATATGATTGTAGGGTGCTTTATTGATTAAAAGAACAACAACAGAATATCAAGAGAATGAATTCGGCAAGCAGCAGACGAAACCAGTGGTAATATGCAATTTTCACATTTAAGACTGGGTGTTCCCATTACTATTCTATGTTTCGGTGTTGGAGAAGTACAAAAAATAGCATGGTGCAGGGCTGAAACGTCAGAAAGAAAGCACCATCAGCAAGTAAGGTCAAACACAAATTGCTGCAGATGTGAAGGTCATGGATGCACTACGCAAACCCTTCTGATGTGTAATGATGTGATAAATGTTTTGAAACTGGTCCTTTCCTTCTATTTTAGAGGCGGTACACATACCTAATTTACTTCTGGTACTGTTTGCACAGCGACCACGTCGAGCAGGGGGAACTAAGCGCGAAAACTGAAAACCTGGAAGGTGCTGTACTCGTACACAAAATGGGTGCTGCATACATTCACGCGTCTCGGTTATTTTCCTGCTAAATTTAACCCATTTAATCACTCGTGGCTTTTTGAGGCGCTAATTTGAACGGGATGCTCACTATCAAGGCTCGCAGTGAAATCGGTCAGCTTTTTTTTTCTACTTTCCCTTTAACTTCAGAAACTCTAAGGGCTACGGTAATATCGAGGCCGTTTACAACGCTGCAAAATGACCACACACGCGGTAAAACAAGCAGCAACATCTGCTGCTTGAAGCAGTCCAAAACCTCAATCATCTCAACGGAGCGTCCGGCCGCCACCTCTCACCGGCGCCACGGTAACTGAAAGTTGCGAATCTCACTGTACTCCTCTTTCTGTCAGATGGTGTGGAGAGGGTGCCTCACCAGGCTTTTCAGCACTCCGCCCATGAAGTGCATGCATGTAAGTTGTATTGAGATTCTCTGTCATTATGCTTGATGTCGACCATGATGGATGTAATTGTGCGCTTTGTATTCCATCGATATGAACTTGCAAATCACCTATGCTTTGTGTAGGCTATAGCTTTAACTAGTGGGTATTCGCATTGTCCGCGACCTGTAGGTGGCACGCAAGGTAAACCAACATGGCGGTCTGGAAGATGATAGGGAGCGAGTAGGAAGGCATGGAAGCATATTCTAAAGCTTATTTTGACAAGTGTAATCACACCAGGCTGCATTCATGATGCAGCATTGAGTTCCACATGGAAATAGATTACAATTACACATGAAGTGAAGGGTAAATGAGTAGAAATTTTCTAACCAACCATTTGTATGGTGGCGAAGATGAAACCTCAGCACAATTTGCGAGCATCGATTACCGCTTCATTCTCTGCTGCACTATCCATCTTGTGTCCGCAGATGCCGTGTTGGCTTCCCATAAATAAATGTTGCGGCGATGCACACCATTTGCGGCTGCCATATGCCACTCTCTACCAATTCAACAGTGGCTGCATGATTTTATTTAGTGTGACCCAGCTCGCCCACTTGGTGTCTTGAAAGGCCTCATAGCAATTGTTTCGACCACGACAATACAAAGCTAGGATATATTTGATTTATCATGACCATTTAGCTCGTGAAAGATTGGTGTCGCCAACTTTGTAAGGAAGTTTTTGTAGTTTTGTTACCAAAGACACGTTTATTGGATGAATGCTTGGGGGGTTGGCTGAAGTCAGGCGCTCAGGCGATACTAACATATATAAGCTTATCTTAACATTAGTACTACAACACATAAACTTTGATACATGACTTCGTAACATCCTGCAGCTGATTTCTGAATGGTGCTCAGAACAGAAAAATTGCACCAAAATATCGGTAAATGTAGCGTGCGTGCGTGTGAGTTTTTTATTGGCACATGCCCAGTTCGTGCTTTCTTTTTTTCCCACCTCTCCTTCTTAGAATGGCACTACGAGGTCGTTGACTTCATCTTACCGGTGGTTCGAAGGGTGGGTGCCAAAAGCTTGCCACGACCGTTTCGGCCCAGATAATCGCTTCTGCCTGAACATGGTGGTCAGTTGACGACACCAGCGACTCCCTTGCCTAGAGGGAGGAAGCTGGCATTATTGTTTTGGAAGCTGCCATAAGGCTACCCAAGGTCACATTTATAGAATGCGAGGGGAACCCACCACCAAAGCGTATCGAGGTGGCGCAGACTTGCCAACAGATTACCACACATTCGATGACCACGCATTTTACATTGGCATATTTCATTAAAAAGAATGTGATGATATTCCTGCTGCTAATCTGGTTTGTGCTCCACGGCACGGTGCCCGTATGTTGGATATTTTTTTCACTCATGTGTGAAAAAGCCTAATGAAAGCTGTCTGCTTGCATGGCAGGTGTTGGCAAGGCCCGCACTAGCCATGTGAAAGCAATGCATCGTCGGTTGATCCTCCTCGAGGTGTTTTTCTCTCTGTCCGCTGTGCGGTGCTTCAGTCTACAGACAGTGCGAATATCTTTCCCAAACATACCAAATAACTCTTTCGTTACCATGCCTATTCAAATCGATCACCGGTGATTGACGTTTTGGAAAATCAGTTTTAGCATGCAAAATTTGTTTCTTGTGCACCCAGCACTTTCTAGTAGCTAGTCCAGTCACTCAACTTTCAGAATCAATTTGAATTTGACCGCTTTGGCAATATGGTGATTTTTAACAGACCTTTGTGCACACCAATGTGAATGTATTGTTGGGAAAGTGCACTAGACTGGCGAACTTGACAAAAGTGCATGCCCCTCGAGATTATACTGCAGAAACATCGAAGTTTTGTTATGAAAGGAACCTTTGCAAACCAAATATTGGATTGAGGTGTCAGCTTTGCAATTTGATAATGTTTAGCAGTAATAATTGCCAGAAATTTATGCCAGTTATTCGATAGACAGCTGTTGCTAGTAGTTAGGAAAAATTTATTCTAAAAAAATATTTACCATGGTCCGCCGCATGTTTAAAGTGTTGAGATGGCCTTCTCAGGCAGTTTCCAGCAGCTTTAATTTTGCTCGTATTGTTATACCAGACACAGGGTCGCGTCTAGTGCCACTAATCGCGCCTATAGGTGCGAACCAGCGCCGCAAAACACATGCGTCGCTCCTGAATTGAAAGTTCAAGCGTGACAGCACCTGAACTTGAATTTTTTTGGAAATGATGTTTTGCGTCGGCCTGAGACATTCATAGCCGTCCATGGGTTTGTTTTGTTTACTGCCTCAAGCTGTCTCCTCTGCCGCAAGTACGTCGCTGCTGACCTTTGTGCACAATCTTTTAGCTAGTCTGGTTATGTGCAAGGTCCACACTTCGCTGGGGCGCGGTGTGCTGTCGCCGGCTGTAGAGCTTCTCCGAATGACAAAAAGGTTTCCAAAGCACATCCTGGCTCTAACTACAGAGCAGTGCGAAACGTTTAAGAACTGCATGGATATTGTTCTTTTTGTAATAAATATGATGTGCAAAATGCTAAGAGATATGATCAGATGCTTATATAGGAATGCCAACCTAAGCGGAGTGAGGTGACTCATGGAAAGACGTGACACTAGATGAAATATTGAAGTTCATTAGACATCTGGTTTATAGAGGAATTGTTCACATCACGGGCATCCATCTAATTTGGAGAAGCTGGAGGCTCTTATACCAAGAAAACGAAAATTTACTGGAAAATGGGTACGAGTTCACTTGTGCCTCACAAAAAACCAGACAATGCTTCATCGCATGGCTCGAGCAACGAAGCAGCACCCCGGTTCTGATGTTCTTCGTCTATGTGAATAGGAACTTTTTGTTCAACGTTTATTATTTTTTATACTGTTTCTGGCTCATTTGACTTCAAAAATCTATATTTTGAATTTTCCTTGTCTTGAATATTTTTGCACCTATAGTGTTTCTATTGCTCTGTTTACCTATTGGCAACCAAAAATTACGCGCTTTCCACATTTTTATTCGTTTAATACTTTTGTTGCTCTATAGCATATCTTCATTGGACAAAATTTGGTATACTGCAATGTGTGCTAAAGTACTTTTCGAACTGGCAAAAAAATTTTCCTGATACATATGAAAAAGAACCATATTCGCGCGGTAACAAAAGAGCTGAAGAATATTGTCACGGTCCCGTGACAATATTATAAATGTTGGGTTGTCAGTCACCAAACTACAACATGATTATGAATGAGATTTAACAGACAATGATGCCAAAGAAAATATAGGGGGTGTTATTAATAGTGATTGTAATGTAAATGTGAAAGAAAGTGGACGAAAAGATAACTTGCAGGGATCGAGCCTGCAACCTTTAAATAATGTGTCCGATGCTCTACCAACTGAGGTAAAGCAGTGAACACCCCACCATATATGAGATCATCTCCCCATATATGAGGTATATACATGCATTTAAACATGAGAGTGTGAGTCAGCATGGTTAGAAGCCATGACAGCAAGTGTAGAAACTTTGTTTCTGCCTGGTGATGTCACAAAGCACTTGGTTTTATTACAAGCTGGCAGCTGACCAATAATCCCTCACATGCCATATATCTGAAGGCATCAGGTTTGCCAGAACGAGACCCTTGCTATGAGTGAAGGAAAGAAGTGCAAGTTTAACGGCTCGTTCTCATTTGACAGGCAGCTGAAAACTTGCAGCACACCTCTCAATCACAAAGTACGCACAAAAGAAAGAAAGACAAAAAGTATGAGTGTGAACAAATTACTGTCACAGCTCGACACCTGTGGTGTGCTGTTAAACACAAAGAAGGGTGTTAAAAAAACGCACAGGTATACACAAGACAAACGTGAACTCGTGACTGTCACAGTTGTTTCTTCATTTTTGAGCAGCATACTAAAAGGCCGGCTATGCACAACCCAACACACTTATTTTTTTGTTTAACTGCGGCATGAGGACTGACCCCTCTGTGTGTCTGGCTGCATGGTGGCGCTTGACAAATTAGGTGCCCTGCATACCACATCGCGACTGGGTATACTATATAAAGGGGCCACTTATGTGAGTCTCAAGGACAGTGTTCAAGTTCAAAGAAAATTAAGGATCATTGCTCTAAAGTGCGCCTTTCGCTCCATCTCATGGGTGATGCAGAACACGCTGAAGCACCCCCGAGGTCTGTATACAGCCAGCAGTAACTGGTGAGTACAAATAGCTCGTCGTTAGATTCTTGCCGATCCATGGCACATGGCAGAGTTGTCTAATATGGGCAGTGAGTGGTCACAGGTTCGAGTCCCAGTCACGCTTTGGAAATTTTACAGTGAAAGCTGTTATGAATCACAGCAATGGCTCATTTTGGCATCATAGTTGTCCGTTGCCAGTGTCCATTTTCGGTATCGAAAAAAAAAAAGATAAATAAAATTTTGGCAGATGCCATGACCATGGGAATCGGCGTCATGCGAAGCATGCAGTGAGAAGGTGACTATGGTGCAATTTGAAATGCGGAGAATTCATTTGCATATGGCAGGCACTTTAAGTGTCTATGTATGTATCTATCTATATATCCAGCATGCTACGCTTGGGTGCTCTCGTGATAACCCTCTTACAGGGATCGTGACACCCAATTTTCAACCATAATCTCTGTTGTGTGGGTTGATTCCTGTTCGTTCGCAGACAAGCTGGTGAAATTTGAGTGAACTTGGTCGAGCCGTTAATTTAATATCTAATATTTTTATAAACGACCGAGCGACCTGAGAGTCAGGCAACACTGAAGCGATTGCTAGCCGTGACCACGACCTGCTCTACTCCTGACCCGCCCAGAGAGCCCCTCTCCAGCGCCCACGTTCTAGTTGATACCTTCTGGCATTAAGGCTGTAACCTAGGAGCGACATGGCGCTAGTCAGCACCTGTTCTCTGACTGCACCTTCAGCGTTTGTGGTCACATTTTGGCCAACAGAGCACTTATAGTACGTAGTCATCATGCACAAATAAAAAATAATTCAGG